AGGGAAAGTTGCCTTTCAAGGTGAAAAGTTTTTTCAGATCTGTCATGGAGACCAGTGAACTAACACCATATGCAAATACAGAGTAAATCCAGAGGTCATACTCAAGGGAGTACTACATCTTGCACAGCACAAGTCACAGAATCCCTTTCCATTTTAGATCCAAAATTCCTCATATTCTTAATTTCTTACAACCTGTGCAAAAAGGTAAAATGGAAGAAATAATGAGAGAGAGAGAAAGACCATTGACCAATAAAACCCCACTTTCCATATACTCAAGTGTTCCACATTATATTGCACTCAGCACCCAAATTTTACGCAACCTCATACACTTTATTAAAACTGCTTAAGACTTAAACACAAGACCCATTCTGCTTCAGTCCTCCTTTAACTGCATTTCCAAAGTTCTTTAAATTCAAAAGAAAGAAAAAAAAGAAATAGTGTAACACAATATAAAAATGATCCTTGTTCTTTCCAAAACAACCCCCACACAATCAGCAGTTGCTGGCTCAGCAAATCTCTACCACATGCAGGTGCATTATCCATTGGAGAATACTTACACCACAAAACTGACCAAACAAATCAACAAATAAAACAACTGACTGCTGCAGAAAACTATAGCTATGTTCCATTTCACTAAAAGCAATAGTATACTCGTATCTTCTAATAGAATTTCTTTTACTGATAACGTATCTCACACCACTAAATCTGATACCAATTTGGTATTATACTCACATGTAGTTATAAACTTAATGAAAGCTCAATAAAAGCTACTTTCAAACCAAGATCCTGGTCATGCAAAATCATCTTCTTAAGTTCATTGAACAACAGTAGCAACTCAGACAAGCAAGGTCTTCACATGTTAACATCTCAAGGGCCCAATTGTGCAATTTCTACTCTTATAAATATATTACTTATGCAAATAGTATTCATTAGGTCGGTCTGTTTAAGGGAGATTTGTATGAATAAAAGCTACAGACTGGACCCAGGAGACATCTGAAGAATAGGGCAATCTGGACAACTGAGAACATAATATAGATACCATCAGGTTGTGCAGGTGTTACTGACAACATAACTTGGCCAGCAAGATGCTCATTACTGGCAACGATGCATGAGAAACAAGGAATCCATCTTGAATGTCAAATCCCAAAGTGAGTTGCAGGGATAGTGGTTAGTAAAAACGTCCTTTTTGTAAGAAAAGACAACTTGAACTGAAAATCAAAGGGGGTTTCAAACATAGAATGCCAATATGTCATTTCTGTTAAGCAACTTTTCAGACTAGAACTATTTTTAAGTGGATAAATTCTTACTTCTCCTGTGGATCCAACAAAGTGGCACTCCATGTAGCTGGCATCAAGAGTGAAAAACAGTAGCACTGTACAACAAGCATCTTGTGCTTGTATGTTAACACTGAAATGTTACATCAAAATCATTCATAGAACATTTTAATCTGAAAAACTAAATTTTACCGAATTCCTAAAATTAAATTATTATTATTATTATTATTATTAAAAGATTATGCCATCCATTCATCATCCTCTTATAAGTGCAGCAAGTTTTGACTTTAGAAAAAAAATCTCTATCTTCGCATCTTACTTTTGTAATCAGTACTAATAACTTAACTCAATACAGTAAGTCTGACTAGTGATCAGGGTCACAGCCTATTTCTGTCAAATGTTTTCCTGTCCCATCTAATATGTTTCTTGTTTCCCGAAAAGCTTTTATTTCCTCTTTAAATTTTTGATATCTGGCCATGCAGCTGTCCTTACCATAATTATAATTGTTCCGAAGATAGGTCTTCTGGGTAGCTTTTATAGGTTTGCATTTGCAGCGTTCTGCAAAACAGAACAAATTTGTTGAGAAAGAACAAGGCATAGGCTCAGTGATAAACTTTCCAACCCCGCCAAATAATTAAAAAATAAATAAAAACACATAATAATTACTTTAGTTTTTCCATGCATAAAAACACAGAAAAACTGATAGTTAGATTAGCAGTTTTAGGACAATTAGAAAAACAGCATTAATTTCAGTTCAAAGGGAAAGTTGAAAGACATGATTTTCTTAAAAGCACAATATTCAAGACATTTCATTTGGAAATGCCTAAGTATTATGTTTTCTATCAGTTCAACATTAAATTGTGTTCCTCTCTTGTTTCATGCTGCACCACTGGAGCTGCAGGTTAGGAGCCTGGCATCCCCTTTCTGGCACATGGGCTAAATTATGTGTCCCATTTTGCACCTATGTTATGCAATTCCCATGATTCCCCCAACAGATTGTTCAGAGAAAATAAGTTATTAGGGCAGTACCAATAAGAGAATTTTTGGGCCGATACTGATGGCTGATTTTTAATGAGCCATACCCACTGATATCGATCCGATTCCAAGAAGCAGCCGGGCAGCACAAAGAGCAGCATCCAGCTGGTATTCTGTTGCGGGGGAAGGGGTGAGGGAAGGGGCATCGCAGAAGGGGGCAGATTGAGGCCCCGGGGGTGAGGGAGGGAGTGGGGCCGGGGCTGGGGAGGGGCAGGCATTGCCCAGCCAGGGCATGGCACGGAACAAATCCACGAGTGGCTCGCCCAGAGGGAGGGGGGGAAAACTCCTGCTGCTCCATGCATCCTGGGAGGGCAAGGGGGGCATATGCCCCTGGATCTGTGCACAGGGCAAGGACAGGTTGCCACTACGGGCTGGGGCCACAGCTGTGCCGGGCTCTTCCTGCCGGGAGCTGGGTCGGGACTGTACTCAGTGTGGGTGGTGGCAGTGCTGGGAGGCAGACAATGGGGGGGCTGCAGCCACCTCAAAATTCACCACAGCCCCCCTCTGAGTGCCACCACTGCCTGCCCTGAGCACAGCCTGGGCCTAACTTCCATCAGGACAAGCCCATTGCCACCCTAGCCCTAGCCCAAAGTGGCAGCCCACCCTCACCATATGTGCAGATCTGGGGACACATGCCCTCTGTGCCTTCCTTGGGGTGTGTGTAGCAGCGGGAGCCACCATCCCCGCCCTTTGTCCCCTGGACGAGCCGCTCACAGTTCTGTCCCATGCCCTGGCCCAGCTGTACAGCACCTGCCCCAACCCCTTCCCTAGTTCCACTCCCTCCCTCACCACAGGGGCCTTGATCTGCCCCCCATGCCCCTTCCCTCACAACAGACTTACCAGCTGGACCCAGTTGCTCTCCACACTGCTGGGCTGCGCTCCTAGCCGACTGTATGTTGCTCTGCGGCTGCATGCATGTACACGGCATTTATCGGTGACATTATTAGCCACATCAGCCAAAAAAGCCAATTGCCAATACAGTCAATTTTCCTTATATTGGTGCCAATTCAATATGGGACCGATGTATTGGTGCACCTCTACAATTTATATCTCATGCCAGATACAGTTTGGTCCGGAAACTTAAACTGTTTGGTGGAACGGAGACTGGAATTACAGTTTTTATGACACAATGTTGTTTCATGTTGAACTGACTTGGTATATGTATATATATAGCACAACCCAGTGTTTGCTAGCTGTAGGTCAGGGATCTGCCACCTATGGCCCCTGGCTGGATCCAGTTTACATGTGCAGAGATGTGAGAGCAGATCTGTTGCCCATGCCAGTAATCTTAGCTCCATGGATCCCTATCTCCCAGCCCAAACTATGGTCATGGGACCCAGAGGCATAAGGTTCTCCCAACCACAGCCCCATGACCACGGAGCTCAGGCTGGGAGATAATGATCTCCCAGCCCTGGCCCCAGGATTGTGATCACAGAGCAGGGGCTGGGAGCTCCCTGCTGCAGGTGCAAGGGGACATTGTCCCCACCCAGGCTACGGTGGCAGAGCCTGCCCTGGCAGCAGGTAGCTCCCAGGGGCAGGGAGCAATTTCCCACCCCCTGCTGCCCAGCTGATCAGGAGCAAATGTGCTCCCAGTCAGGCATCTACACATGTGCTACTGCGCAGTAAGTATCTGAGTAGAAATTTACTCTTGATTAGAGCAAATTACTGCACAGTAAGCATCTGCACGTGTAGATGGTGATGCTTATTGTGTAGTAATTAGCTCTAATGTCAAGTAAAGCATCTCTTGTAGACATGCCCCTTATGTCATAAGTGTCACAACCCAAGGGTGTGATTTTTGTTTGTGTGTGCTTCGGCACTGCTAAATTATTTCTCACCACTCGTAGCTTTCTTTGCAGGGTGCATTTCTAGGTTGCAAAAGAGAAATGCACAGTGCAAGGAGTTCCCACCATTCGCATGCAAATTTGTGTCCCACTATTGGCCAGTTCTAAATTATTCCCACGTGGCGGCTAGCGATTGGCTTGCTAGCCGTATAAGAGGCTTGAGCGGTTTCCGCCCAAGTTGGAGGAGGAATAGGGGTCTGATCAGCCTCTAGCCTCTCCCCATCGCCGCCTGATCCCTCAACATACCCTTCCCTGCGCGCAAGTTCCACGGAGCCTAGCAAACTTCGTGTGAGTGTATCCAGAGCTCTGTCCAGGTTCGAGTCCTGCAGGTTTATCTTCCCGTCGCCGAAAACCCGTTGCAACGTACTCTCGTGTTTTGCATCTTCCCATCGCAGAAAACCCCCTGCGACGTACTCTCGTGCCCTGCAGGTTCGAGTTTTGTTTTGTTTTGTAACTGCAACTCAAGCAAGTTTTCCTGCCTGCACCGCGACCATCTTCGGTGTAAGTAAAATAATCTTTAATCAACCACTAAGCTTCCGTGCCTAATTCTAGTGTGCCGCCTGCCTTCCCCGACCCGGCGTGTCCGGGCTGCTGGCCACAGCCCGCCGCGCGAAAAACCCCCGAGGGCCTCAGACCGCTCCCGGCCCGCACGATAAGAACTTTAATTCAGGTCTTCATTCTATCAAACAATCTGAGTTTGGTATATATTTCAATCAGTTCAACATATATAGAGTAATTTGCTCTAATCATAAGTAAATTTGCTACCTGTAAAAATATATACACAAATACACACACACATATACATACACACACACACACACACACACACAGAAAGAGAGAGATGAAAGTCAGCAACCTATTGGTCACAGACTAAATTCTGCTCTCAATTACTACAGTCTCAAAATAACTGCACTGGCAAAACTGAGGGCCAAATGTAGACATGCTTAGTGGCAGTGTGTAATTTCAGGCTTCACCAGTGACATAGCTCTTTTAAAGCCTGAGAATTTGAGGGAGCTGTAGTTCCAGACAGAGATATGGTGGGTAAAGATCTTTTGATTTCCTATAATACGACTGTCAGGTCACATATAAATAAATGGGTCAGTGTTTTAAAGAAGCAATTGGTTTGCATCACTCTAAGAGAACCTGTCATGAGATTTAAGAGATAAAAAGGGGGCTGTTAAAGTATTTTACATTACCGTGGTCTTGTTTTGAAATCTCCCCTAAGTTAGTAAAGCCAGCACTGAGGAAACAGCCTTTGTCTGCACTATAGATTGAATTTTATCTTCCTTAGCTAACATATCTACTGGCTTACACTCTGACTGAACTAGGATCTAAACATAAATTTTGAAGCATTGTTCAGAGAATATTATTCATGGAGTTTTTATTGATCTTTTTTATTCTAATGTATACAAAAATAAATTCAAATCTTAATAAGTGCTTTATTTAAAAAGAAAAGTACAGCTAATATATAGGCAGTCACACCTCTTCCTTTGGTAAAAAACAAAGCAAAGTGAATCACAGTACAGATCCAACAAACTTTACTCACATGGATCCACATAGCCATGGAATTTTGCATGTACTACACATAGTGGCAAGCAATTAACTTGTGGTAGATCCAACAAAGGACTTAAGTGTCTAAAAGTTAAGTATTGCAGCCCGATCCTTAATGATGCACTGAAGGCCTTTTATGGTAAATGGGGAGATATAAATATCTCAGAATGATGATACAATAATACCCATGTGCTGAGCTGGAAACCACCTATAGTTGAGGTTGGCAACACCCCAGGCTGGGACCAGCAAACTGGCTCCCTGTTGCAGGTTGCAAATCTCCACCTCCCTGAGAACTCCATCTGCATGCACTTACCCACATGGCAGATACTAGGCCCCTCTGCAGTGACAGTAGCCTAGGCACAGAGAGCACCTGGAAAGCATTGTGGAGGAGACAGGCAGCATAGCACAGCTGCATACAGCCTGATCCTCTGTGTCGCCCCAGGCTCCATCAGACCTTCCCATTCCAGATCTAGTCCAGGAGCCATAGTTTGCTGACCCCTGACCCAGAGCTATTCAACATTAGGGTGTGTCTTAAACTCTGCCCTTAGAGCTTACGCATTTGATATAGACTCTGATCACTTGGGATCCCCAGCCTAGAATCCTCCCCTGAATGCAGCTGACCTTCAAAGAATGGAGCACAGTTTAGTCTTTTAAAATGTGGCTAGTGGTGGCAGCGGCTCCCTTTTTGCTAATAGCATAATGGTTAGAGCACTCACCCAGGAAGTTGGGGGCTTGGGCTCAATGTTCTCCTCTTCCTTTGAGGATTCAAACCCACCTCCCAAGAGAGGGACCTAACCACAAGGCTATAGGTCATTCTGTGGTGGAAGGAAAGGGTCGTTTTCTACTCCAGCCGTTGAACCTGTGCCACTTGTAGCAAAGAAGGCAAAACTGACTGGGTCAGAGACAGCCTAGATACAGACATTCAAAAAGCCAGAGGTGGAATGGATCAGACCTTCACAGCTTTCTCTAAACTGCAGAGAATAGATAGGGAACAAACAGAACACACATTCTCCCATCAGTTATGGTGGGCCACAGGGATGCCTGCACTGGCCAAGGCCAGCAGGCTCCCATGTGCCTCCCTGTGTTGGACACTGCCAAAGGCAGCCAAATGCAGCCGATTGGTGGGCCACA